CAGACCTGTGAAACAGTTTAACTTCCAGTCATTGCAACAAATGCGAAAGGAAGTTATTATTTCAGACTCCACACGTGCCTAAATCTTACTTCCACAGAAATAGTGTAGTTTTGCTTTTATACTGATGTCCTTTAACAGTCTGTTTTCTAGTATCGTGCAGATACTTGTTTGTTGGGGGCAAGGAGAGTTTTACCTGCTTGGCCATTTSAGGGCTTAGGTGTCACAGGCCTTACCTCCTTAAGGGTGACTTAAGAGGATAGAATAGGTGAAAAAAAGGGTTAAATAGTTATAAATTGGTGTGTGCTCATGGAAAATAATGTTTGACAAATGTTAAAGTGGCYTAACGAACCAGATTAACGCTGCTGCCAAGAGGGGCAGCCCTATTACAACCTGTCCTGCTGCATAGGACCTTTGCAGGCACGGGTGGCTGGATGGTAAATTGGAGGGAATTTCTTCARCTGAAAATAGACATTCTTCCTCTGTGTCTTTGGAAAACTGTTTTTCAGCTGCAGTATTTTTCTAGGATAGTTCGCTGTATACTCTGCCAATACCTGTTCCAGAAGAAAATGTGGGAGAAAGAGCTGGGGCAAGACAGGATTGTGTGTTCTGGCAGCTCTGACCATTAGAGGTACTCAAGCAGGCAGAGCCCCAGGATTGGTGGGATATGGTGGCAACGGCAGGGATAAAGCAGCTGAGGTTCTGACTGTACTTTTGCAAAAAAGAAAAATTATGGACAACAGGAGAGAAAATAAATTGTTTGTATTATTGGTGTTACTTAATATAATATAATTCTTGTAATTCTTGTAATTCTTGTAATATAATATATAATTCTTGTTCTTGAATTAATTATATTTCACTGGCTTTTGTTTTTTCCAGTAAAAAGGAAGAACTGGAAAGAAACTATGAAAGTATTGGTTATTGGCCTTGGAGGGTAAGTTATACAAAATTAAATTTCCTCTACAGCTTAAGAATAGTCTGCTTTTCGGAATGAAGTGATGTAATTTCTATTTCTGAATACATATTTTTTRAAAACTGGATTACAAATGCAAGCTGTAATTTTATAATTTTGTRGTTTAATTCTTTAAGAAATTGGTCTATGTCTGTTGGAGACCTCAGGTGTGGATCTTTCTAGTCTCTTTCTTGGCAATGCTTGATTTACTGTATTCATTGTTGAAAACTGTTGGATCATGCCAGAAAATTTCTAGAGGTAGAGAGCAGTTAATGTGACTAAAATTTGGGGGGAGTTGTATTGTTTCTTTGCACATAACTATGTAGAAGTGTGTGTACAAGRTAGTACATATGTTTAAAAGTTTCATTTTTGCCTTGGTGAAATTTTTACAATGTTTTCTAACAGTGTAACAAACGGAGGGAAATCAACACTAGCAGAAAAGCTTAAGAATATGCTTCCCAACTGTGATATAATCTCTCAAGATGACTTCTTTAAGGTAATGGTTTCAATGGAAAAACCTGATAGGTAAAAGTAGGCCTGAGTAGATTTCAATTCCTTTTTTAGTYCTCCTATTGACAAACTTTTAAAATTATTGCTGCTTAAAATAATGTTAATTTCATGAGAATCATAAAATGACCACTGGGATAATTGATACTTACGTGGCCAAACCACTGAATACACTCAGCAAAAATTAWTTTTTCTTCTTTGGCACCCTTTTAAAATAAGGAGTGGGTGCATTTTTCAAGATCCTTTGTATTAATGAGTTTAATGATACTGTTTTCAGCCTATACCCATACAGCAATAAGCAGTTCCTTGTCTCCCAACCCAAAACAGAAAAATAGTGTGTTGATTTTGGGATTGTTTGTTAAGGAGCGTGAAGGAGCTCTTATTTCTGAAATAATACTCTAATGTACTTAAGTCATATGATTTGGAGTGTTTATTGTTCTARATTAAATAAAGGTTTTGTACTATTTTAACAGTTGTTTACAGCATTTTAACATTGAAGATAAATTGAACTAATTGGATACCCCTAAAGTGTATAACYCTTATGTTTATAATCAAAGAGTATGTATCTCTCAGCATGGACATAAAAGCAACCTTGAAAAAATTAAATTTTTTTCCCCTTCAGCCAGAGTCTGAAGTAGAAACAGATGAGCGTGGATTTAAGCTATATGATGGTCAGTAACTCTGATGCACTGCTTTTGAACATTGTAYTGAAATTCTTTTGTGCTAAGCTTCAACACTTCTTCCACCCCATTCCCTTGCCCTCTTCCCTTCTAAGCTAGGTAGTATACAAGTGCTTGTTTCAGAGCAATCCTTTGCTTAGYATCTTTCAGCTCACTCAATATGCAAGAAAGCTTGCTTAATCAGTAAATAGGTCAAGCACTTTCCTTTTCTCTTTTGAATCTTTCCCTCTGTCCCTCTACTTGTGTCTGGTGTAGTAGCAAATGGTACTGTTCAGTTGAAAGTTTTGGCATTCAGTTGAAAGTACTGGCATAAGTTCAGCCTCATCACTTTCTATGTAATAATGGCCTTGTTTCCCCCACTTTTATTAGTGAGCTCATGGGATGTCACTACTGAGTTTTCCAAATCCGTCAAAACTTGGGTCTATCCTGCCACCTTTATTTCATGTCAGATCTCACACAGAGAACCAATACTTTTAAGTTCATGATTAATGCTGGTTCAACTTATTCTCACAGATGTCAAGATCCASATCTACTTTAGGCCAGTGTTTTGGGCCATGTCATGTCTACTTGTAAACAGTTGCTTAGTTAGTGGCCTATCTCTGTTGTTACTTTACGATCACAAAATCTATTGCTAAGAACACTGGTCAGACCCTCCAGTTATACCTGAAACTGGTGATTACCAGCTGTGCAGTCTTTGGCTCTACTTCTAGACTTTATGTAAATGGATTCTGAAACTGGAGGGATAACTGGACATTCTTATTCAAATATCCAGGTTTAATGCTGTCTTAAAAGCTCTTTAAAAAYGTGTTTGCTGTCACATTATTATCCAAAGGCTGCCTTCTTTCTACCTTTCAGTAATTCCTCAATATATTCTTGTGTGTCTGCAGACAAAACCAGGTGTTAGATCGTTTTGCTTTGTGAACCATGCTCCTTTAAATCTCTCTATGCCCACCTGCTGAACCAAATAAAAACCTAAAGCAAAAAATACTGAGCATCTACTCCCACCCTCTGACAACAGACAGAAGCATAGAAATCTCAGGGTTAGTAAATTTTTACAAGCTTGGTGGAAGCAGAGAGCAGTCCCTGCAGTTTCTGTTGTGAAGTGAAAGGCTGTGAATGCAATTCAGACAATTTTGGGTGCCACGAAGTTCAGAGAGACTGCACCCTCCAGAAATACCCCAATCCTGGTGCAAGCTTTGTTTTCAGAAAATCATCAATTGCAAACACAGAACTACTAATGTAATCTTTGGGATAATGCTGTTCCTCTTCATTTAAATTTGCATGTAGAGTATTTGATTCTTGCTGATTAATGTAGGGGTACTTAAGGATTTCTTTTTTTTTTCTTTCATTCTTTGCATTTAAGGGATGTTTTAACTTTCTGTTTTGACCTAGTACTTGATGCCCTCTATATGGATGAAATGGTGACAAGTATTCGCAACTGGATGAAAAACCCAGCAAGCTCAGGTGTTGTGACACAAGAGCCACAGAATACATGTGACAGACTGAAAAGTGTTTATATTTTGATTGTTGAAGGCTTTCTCCTTTATAATTATGAGTAAGCARTAAGATGTAATCATGTATATTAAGAGCTACTCTAAAATGGAAGAGAGAACTAAATATGTTTTTGTCTTAGGCCACTTAATGAACTATGGAATAGAAGATACTTTTTGACCCTTCCTTATGAAGAGTGTAAAAGGAGAAGGAGGTAAGGCTATTAACTTACTGTTTAACAAGAGTCACTATGCCCCCTGAACTGAAGTGGTCCTTTTGTACTAGCTATTTTTTAGTGCTTGCAAAATGTAAGCTAATAAGATCATTTATCCTCTGTCTTTTTTTGGTTTGTTTGGTTTGGTTTTAATTTAGAGCACATGGTTWTTAAAGTGTTAAATGCTTTACAAAAATTAAAAATAGCATTTGTTGTCCTGATTAACTACTTAGATTATTGATTGCATATTTGAYTAAAAACCATGTTTAAAATGAGACACAGTTTAAAAAATACTAAGCAGTCTTATTCTTGGTTAAATACAGTGAAACAGTGATTATTCTTAGAGTAATGATGTTCAGTTTTGTTTAGACTGTTCACTAATTTTTCCATAGATGTGATTTAGATTATTGAGCCAGTGTCTGACTGACCTTCAAATTGGGAGCAATACTGAGTGCTTGGAGTTATATGGCACAAAGTCAGAATCTGCTGGCTGAGTAAGAAATCCTCTATTAATCTGGCTTTGATTGATACGTTCTAGGTTTTTTCACTAGACTCACCTAAGATGTGGTGTCCAGAATGGAAGTGACTAGACTAAAGAACTAGTCATTTAAAGCTTAAGAAATTAGTATAGCTAATAAAAAAAGGAAAAAGTAGTCTATTTTGGTATTAGTTTCAATACAGTTTAATTTATATGCAATACCTTTTACAATTAAAGGATAAATGCTATTGCTTAACCAGCTGACACTAGGAGAAAATATAAAACTTGTATGGGAACACACATTTATTTTTGTGTAGCACCAGAGTCTATCAGCCACCAGATACACCGGGGTACTTCGATGGACACGTGTGGCCTATGTATCTGAAATATAAAAATGAATTGGAAGAGAATGCAAGTATGCAAATTGGTATGGTATCCCTAATTTTAAACTTATAAAATGCTTAAATGTGGCACTTGTGCTGTTTCTGTTGAATTGTGGGTTTTTTAAATGGGACAAAATTTTCTTTGAGTGTAACCCGAGTAACCGGAAGTCTTCTACTGCGCAGACATCTGTTTGCCAAATTATTCCATCGCTCCACTGTCCTCACATAATTACCATTACCCTTATGGAGACTTGTATACTACAAAAATTGTAAATGAATTATTAACTAGAATACTTTTTCAGTCTATTGTTTTTTAATATGTAAAGTGAATTTAGGGAAGAAGAAAAGGGGAGGTGCTGTACTCGGTTGGTTTTTGTTTTTCATCTCTTCTGATGGCATCTGTCGAAATACTGAAAACTGGGCCAGCTGCCATTACAGATAGCTCGTATAGAACTCATGAACACTTTTTCTTTTTTTCTTCCTCAGATTATTTGGATGGAACAAAATCCCAAGAGGAGCTTTTATGCTATGTGTATAGTGATGTCATCCGGGAATTAAACAAGCTGAAGGAAGAAAGTAAGTAATGTTACTGTGTATTCCACCTCATGTTAATGGGAAGCTGATACATCTGTATAAAAATACTACAAAAAATTATGTAGATCTATATCTCTTTATGTGCTACAGTATCATGTTTGCTCATTACTCTGAGTCAATTTAAGTTCAAACTGTGAGTTCCTGAAAATTGGATTTCTAAGATCATAGTTGAATCCACTGTTACTTAATGATAAAATAATAATACAAGAGGGGGGACAGAAGGAATGTGGGATAAAACATCAATGAAAACAAATGTTTTGGTGGAATTAATTTCTAGTATGCAGTGATATCACTTGCAAACACTACAGATTAGATGTATATTTCTATTTATTTTAGATCAGCATGATAACGTGGAAAGCCTGTGTCCCGTTTGATATGAATTGAAAACATCAAGACGTCACACATGGCAAGCCAACCAACTGAGCAAATGCTGTGTGTATGACCTTAATGCTACTTCATACAACGTAAGAGTTTTTATAGTAATTATGAACTCTGTCTTGGGTATGGAGACAGATACTCTGTTTAGGAGTATGAACAGTGCATTTAAAAGAATTCCTTTAATCAATCCTGCTTTGGCTGAACTTKAAATCCAATTGAATATGTACATTTTAAAGATCATGAAGATTTTTGTGTACAAAACTAAACTATAAAGATGCAGTTCTGTTGGATTAATAAGCATATTTGAACATGGATGGATGCAATTTGAAATAATTATTTAAAAATGACAGTGATTGCCTCTAATATTTTTAGGAGCTTATTATTACTGCTAGACATGGTTCGAGAAACTAGCTGTGCAAGTTTATGTAAGTTGTTCTGCTGCTTACTTAGTAACTGATTGAATATGTYGTAGCTGAACTTACTTGGACTTCCTAAATACCTCTCTGCTGTTTGCATGGTAATTCTTATGTTGTGTATTGTTTAGAGCAGCTGGAASTAGATTCTAAATAAAATGAAGGCAAACTTGAAGAGTGCTCAGGTTGTTGGAAAAAGATGGGGAAATAAGATGTAGACAATTCAGATGAMCCATTAACAAGATACAGAGTACACATGTTGTGCAGAGATTGATTGGGATGGCACAGACTACTAGAGAATAAATCCATGCTTCAGGGAGGAGGAAAGAAGAAGTCATTGTTAKTAATAGTCATAGCTCAAGTGAAATGAAAATGAAATGTTGTGAATGAAAATGTTTAGAAAACAGGAATGCTAAACAACAGTCAAAGCTTTGTTATAGAATTTATGTATATAAATTCACACAAGTAGGAGATTGGGAAATTGGATCATATTTTGTTGCTGAGTAAGTAATGTCTTACCACGTATATTTTCTAGACAATAGGTTACATTTTTGTCAGCCAGAGTAAGAATAAAGCTAGACATGGAAATCAAAAGATGAACTATAACTTGTTATGTGACAGCAGCTGGTCWGTGATTTAAATAATTTATTGTAAAAGTTCTAGATCTATATATTAGAAAAAGATGTTATCAGCTTACAGCTGTGTTTAGTTGTGTTTAAGACAAAGTGCTTCTAAATATAATTTTGTATTACTATTTTGGACTAAAAATACTTTATGTTGCATTTGCTTACGCTGTGATGGGCTGCCTGACTATAAATGCAATTTTGTTTTTATTTCCCGTTGGAAAGGGTACAACTGTGAGGGACTAGCTAATGCATAGAATGGTTGTGGTGGGTTGACTTTGGCTAGCCACSAAAATTGCTCTACTGCTTCCCCCTCCTCCACTGGAGAGGGGAAAAAATGCAATGAGTGACTCATGCGTCAAGGTAAGGACAGAAGATCACACACCAATCATAGTCACATACAGGCAAAACAAATGTGGTTTGGGGAAATTATTTTAATTTATTGCCAATAAAATCAGAAATAATGAGAAATAAGAAAAAATCATAAGACACTTTTACCCCACCGCTTCCTTCTTCTCGGGCTTGACTTTCCACACGAATTCTCTACCTCCTGCTGCCCAGCAGCACAGGCAGATGGGGAATGGGGATTGTGTTGCTCCTTTCTCCTCACAACCTTCTGATCCAGCATGGAGTCACTCTCACAGAAGACAATCTTTCACTTCCACCTGCTCTGCATGGTGATTCAGAAGAGGGAATAAACAATGGTATCACCTGAGTGTGTAGATGATACCAAGCATTCTTAGTAGTCCAACACTGGTGCAGGAGCTCAGTTTTGTCAGCTCCTCCCATAGGCAAAAATGGTAGATGAGCTCCAGTACAGATCTATGTATTTGTGGTGTAAATCATTATTGAAATAGACWTGGTACTGAACTTGTACTTCAGCAACTTGTAGTAAGAGCTCAAGTCATAGATCTTCCACAATAGTTCATGCCACAGTTTGGAGCTGCATCAAAATTCATTATCTGTAAGCATAACAGGTTGTCCTACTTTGTTTCTATGTAAGACCTGTGGAMCCATATTTTTAGAGCTGGGCGGTTGTGGTTTCTATATTTAGAGGGAGTCCATAGTGGGCTACATTTAGTTTAAAAAAACTAAATGTAAGGGAATAGAGAAGTTTTGTAAGGAAGACTGAAAATTCAGACACCACTCACTGTGGAGAAGACCAAGGGGAAAATGGGCCATGGTTTACAACATCTTGAAAGCTGTGCCAATCAAGGTGATGCAGAACAAATATTCACTAAGTTTTACAAATACTAGTCCACGGGGGCACCTCCTCATTCAAAACAGATGGACAAATTTTATTAAGATGATATTTCACATGGATAGAGATGATACTTTATGCAGCAGGCGCTGACTTTCTGGGATGCTAAACGTGGCAGAYACTGTCAGCAAGTTCGAAAGGGATCCAGAAGATTCATTGGCACTTTATCCATAAGAAGTAGTAAAATAAGCAAGCAGGGCTGGACTGTAGAAATTGACCAGGCTCACCTGCTGTGTCTGAATTGTGTGCTCTTGGCAGTTCCTACAGCAACTCTATGGGAAAAGAACTCTTCTGAGTCTGCTTGGTAGATAAAGTATTTCAGGTGTCATCATAAAAGCTTACAGAGCTGGTCTGTAACATTGGCATGTTGGCAGAATGCTTTTGGTTTGAAGGTGGGACAGCCCCTGACAAAAAAAAAATCTAGTTTGTCCTTGGCAAATGCATTTTGATTGGCAGGGCTATGCTGGCTGTGAAGTGGCTGGGGAGAGCTGCATGACAGAAGCCTTTGGTTCTTTAGTGAAGAAAAGGTAACTTTTTGAAAGTGGTGTCATTTGCTGGCAGCAATTTCAGGCTGTCACAGCTGAAGGAAAGCTTGGCTAAGTGTCTTGCATACATTCAGAAATGAGGGGCGGTAGAAGTGATGATGTTCTATGATGTTTGCGATGATGTTAGGCTTACGGTATAAAGACAGAAATACAAGCATATTAGTTTGGTATGTAGAAGGTGATTTCCTGATGTTAAAATAACAGAACATAACAAGTCACGAACACTGATACATTAGGAACCAATTTTTTATCTCTCAGAGTTATGGTTCCCACTCTAACCTTCAAAATCTAAAAGCTGTATTTCTTTTTAGAGTATGTATCATTGATTCACATGTTGATTTTGTCACACACAAGTTGTTTCCTGATTTGCATAACCACTTAGGAACAATGAACTTTTGTCYACTGAACTGGTGTGTCTGTGCTGTCTTTCTGGCATGGCCACTGAACATGATGCCCAGTGTCCATTCACTGTCTGGTCACTTAGTGTAGTAACAAGAGAGTAGGAGCAGTGTGAGAGTAAAGGGAGAGTGTTTAGGAGGCTGATGCTCCTATTCACAGAGAGGAAGTTAGTGTGTCAAAAAACTTGCGCTCTTGTATGAGCCATCTCTTCTCAAAGCAAGTCTTAAACGTGTGCTGTGACTTGCTGYGTGACAGGGTGTCTGCAGCTGGTCAAACAAGTTTGTCAGGTGGAGGAGATGTCCATCATCCAGGCCAAAATCTGTTGCTGAGTGGTGGGAAATATAGTATTTAGCGACTCGTGTGGCTAGACACCYTGGTTTAACCTCGCCACAGCTGGTCCTTGTGCATCCTTCCAGAAACACCATTCGTCTTTAGTGTGGTGCAGAGGTACTTGCAAAGTACTGCCTCTTGTCAGCACAATGTCCTCGCTGCTCGTGGCTGCCTGCCTGCCTGAGGGGCTGGATGCACATCTTAGCCCAGCCTGGAGCAGCCAGCCGGGCGCAGAGCCGTTCGAGTGCGGTGCCGGTACTCTRCGTGCGTGAGGACCCCCGAGAAGCCAGGCAGCTGTGCGTCCTCGCCCGGTACGCCTGAGGTGCTTC